TCTTTTTACTAAACTGGCCACGTTGGTCACGCATGTTGTCGTGTGTAACTCGCGCCACTATTATTGTAAAAATGTGATTTACAGCGATAGTTAAACGATAGACAAAAATAAACCAAGTTCGTTGTAAGAGAAGATGATTTACATTTGATATCTGGTAATCGTATACAATGATGATTTGATCCAAGAATTTAAGCAGACATACATTATATAAAAGTATCAGGAGAAAATAGATATATTATCGTGTAATGTAAGGGGAATTGTTCGTGGCGAGGAGATTCAATATGCTCTTCCACATATAAATTCACGGTAGCAGAAAAAAAAAATCGTGACACAGAGTGTCTTAGAACTCGGAGGTAGGAGATCGTCTTCCTGCCAAATCGTGTTTACCAATTTATGAACGACGGACTGTATCAGTCGCCAATTTGGCAGAGATTCGAGCGGACAGTAGTCATACGGTCGTCGGTAGAACGCCAAGAATGCGGACGCGCGCGCGCGTATACGTGTGAGAGTGAGTTATCTAGTACGATCGGTCATGGAATATTTCCAGTCACGGTCATTGTATTCGTTTTCCAGTGGCGCGAAAACTGTTGCTGATTGCTCGCTCGGGGATGCAGAGTCACAGCCGCGAAATGTACTCGTTATCTGCGCGAATTCGTTATCATTGCCAGATCGAGAGTGTCGGGAAGTCGAATCGCAATCATTAGTTTTCACACGCAATCCGCGCGCGGAAACAATCTAATTCCGCTCCCCTCCCCCTCAATTAGCTTTCATCAAACCACGTGTCGATCAATTTATCTAAATTGAATATTCGTGTCACTTTGAAATAAACGCGACTTCAAGTCTGTGTCGCGTTTGCAATTACATCCGTCTATATCCGAATGGAGCCTCTTATCTCGAATATCGATTTTGATTGCGTGTTAATTCACACAATCGCCGAGAACATTTCGAATCTTTAATTATCACCAACAGTTTCGAAACTCTACGCTGCGTCGACGCTGAATATATTCCGCGCGCAGGAGAACAAACTAGTATTTCTAGCCAATTTCGCTTCGAATGAGAGAGTCTATTTACGTTTTACAAGAATACCCGAATGCACACATACACATATCTGCGCGTACACGTGCACAGCGCCGTGCACGCGTACATCACGATTCGCAATGCAATTATGCACACTCGTTCTGGTGAGACGCGCTTCGCCTGCCGAGACATCCGGAGGTTCGAATACCGGCGGGGATACGAAACGCGAATGCAATCGAGGTTGGGTCTCGCAGTGCAGCCCCGACTCGGTTAAGTACACTTTATTAAGCATGCCATCTGCACGTTGCACCAACCACTTATATGGTAAATGGAATTACAAACGCATCCCAAGCTGCGGGATCCCGGGCTGCGACTCGCACCTTGCGTTCGCAATGAGCGGCGCATACGGACCAGCCGTTATAGTAACGCCGCGCAATTGAATAAACGTGCGCGTTTCGTAATCGACGATGACCATTACCGTAGGGGAGGAGAAGTATTAATCGTCAAAACGTACTGTGCTGTCATTAGAGGCAATTTAAGAGCAGTTTTCGTCGAGTGAATTACGTTTCTCGTGACGTGCAAAATTCATTTCGCGGATGTGGATATCGCTGAACTTTATCGATTTGAATACGTGAGATAGTAGTACACAATTTGTGCAGGTGATCGAAATTGAGGGAGTTTCGGGGCTTCCGATTTCCCTGATCGCGACCGAGATCCATCGGATCGCCCGGAGCTTCTGCTCGCTTCATTATTATCAGCGGTGTTCTCTCACATGAACGCTATATTACGGAAGATCTTTCTCCTTTTTCCAATTTTTCCTTCTTGTTTTTTTTACAGTCGGAACATGCGTCGTATTACTATTCCGACATAATCTTTTGATACCATTGTGAACGTTACTTTGATGGAACGCCAATTCTCGGTTGAGCGTGAGTCACGATTTTCTGACGGATTTGATTGATCGCATTGTGGTCGCGGTCCACGTTGCAGAAAATCCACATAAAAGAGAAAGCGCGGACCAGCCCGGCTGTGCAATGATTTAGAGCGATGCTTTCCGCGACCGATCCCGACCCGATAACAAACTTCCACTCGCTTTTATTCGAGCGCGGCTCGACTGCCGCGATCTCCGCGGAATCGCCGAAGAATTTATCGAATCGTAATCGCGGTCGCGGGGAGCCCGAAATTCCGCGGCGCGGCCGAATTCGGATGAGTCGCGGTATCGCGATCGGCGAATTATTCGGCCATGAGAGAAGCGAGCCTGCCGTTTATCAAACTCCGCCCGGCTCTCCGTGTTGCCGCCGGCAACTATCGAAGACAGGTTCGTTGATTTATTAAATCGCGGCTGCCAAATGAAAAAGAGACAGACAGACAGAGGGAAGGAGGGAGAAATCTATTAACAGAGCGAGACGTCGCGGTCTCGTCGCGCGACTCGGAAGACAAAATTATTTAAGTTCGCGCGTGTTCTCGATGTTTGTGCGTCTTCGATAGGACTGGGTATATGGGATTTCGGCAAATATACGGCCGCGTCCGTCGATGTCTGATGAGAAGAGACTTGTTTACTCGCAATTTGCTGATTTCCGAGGCGGCGCCGCGCGACGCTCACTCTAAGAGATTCGCGAGCGAGAAAAGCGTAAAAGGCTCCGTGTACACAAGCCGGTTTTCAACGGGAAGTCCCTTTTATCAGTGGGATGGATAAATCCGGTTTGTGTGTTTGGAGGAAAGTGCAGGACGAGTTCAATAATCGGTATGATACCGATGAGAAGTATAAATACAGTTACAAAGTAACTCCGTTTTATTTCTGCAGACTTCTCCGTTTGTTTGTCCATTCGTTCGTTCGTTCGTTTCTTACGAAAGAGGAAAAGTGTATGTATTTATTTTTTTTCAAAGCGCACCGTACTTGTTTCCGTTTTCACAGACTGTCGAGCGAAAGTTCAACCGTGGTCGGGAAGAATACAGAAGATTGCTGTGGATTTCGATTTCTGCGTGCGCGCCTCGACCTCGCGCGTATTTCCTCGTAGATATTTCGACGTGAGAGAAAAATACGGTGAGATATCATTTTTCGCGCGCGCGCATAAGAGAGCAAGATAGGACGAGAGAAAAGAAGAGGTTGTCCGAATGCACTCGCAGATGATTTCCCACGACGTGCGAAAATTGCTCTCCCGGAAAAACTGTTCGTAGACGTTCATCTTTCGTCGTAGTCATTATTCCATACTAAGCGAGCATATGTTTCCTCCGGGCTGCGCGCCGTGCAAATAGTGCGCCGGGAGTTTCCGGCGTCGTTGCGGCGGCGGCAACGGCTTTGAAACAATAATTAATTAGCCTCCTCGCGCACAGGAGGAAGCAATGCGGCGCGACGAGGTGAACGATGATCGCAGGTGTTGCACGTCGGTAACGACGATCCATAGAGACGTGCAGCGTTTCCGACGTCGCGGGGATAAATTGCAGGTGGATGCTGCGCCGTAACCGCGATCAGCCTGCAGCAATTTTCGATTGCGAGCTCGCGTGTTCGTTCTGCCGAATAACGTTTGAAATACCGGAAGGCTGGCTTCTCCTTTATCTCTCGACACCGACTTTCCCGTCGACCTCGGCGCGGAGGGGATCTTTTGGGACAATTGAGCTCCCCAACGAAATTGCCGCGCAACGCCGCAGAAACCTCGTTGTTTGTTCACGTTCGAACACACCGACACGATTTCGGACAAAGACTTTTATACAACATCTAAACTGCTAAGATCTGCATAATACGCGATCGAATAATTGATGCCAGGTACAAGTGGTGATGGGGATTGTAGCCATATTTCGGGAAAACATATGCATGTCGATTGTTTAATTCTAATTAATCAACTTGAAAGTCAAAGCTCATAATATTATGACCTTTCCTCTCTGTTTTGTGTGTATTATATGCTCTTTAAGTCTTGAATTCTTTCTCTTTCGTATCGTATATATGCTCTCCCCTTCTTTTTTTCTGCGTGTTTTATAATATTACTTTTTTTCTTCATTATTGTGTCAGTGAGATTATTATTATTATTATATAGAAGTGTTTCATAGTAATTTCTATCTCGTATAACGGGCACGCAAGCGGATCAGAGAACGCTCTGATTGCGCGAGCTTTCAATACTATTGCCGTGCGCCATTAATGTTATATTATTAACAGGGCCTTATACATTCAATCGCTCAATCGTTGTATACCCCCCATTAGTGTGTCCAAATACACATCGGCGTTCCCGGCAAACACTTCAAAGCTCCCGCACGGATGCCATTAAACGCTTCGCAATTGAAATAATGTACTAGTCCGTTGCATAGTACACATTACATAGCATATTATGTTATTGATACCGGGAAACTTGCCGGGAGAGTCTACGCGCCATCCGATACCATTCAAAGCCCGAGTATTCCCGGCGAGACGAGCGCTTTTCACTGAGGAAACCCGCGAAAGATCCTTGGCGAGAAGCCACCCTCGGGATCCTTCCTGTCCTAGCCCTTTTCCCCGCGCGACGAGTTGCGTCGGACGATCGATGTTGACGACAGGCCAATCGACCATTAAGTATACCCCGGGTCGTGCGCGCAAAAAGAACACGCTGGGCGATCAATCTTCCATACGTCGAAGTCTTGTAGAGACGCCGTCTCGCGTCTTTCACGGCGTCGGGGAAGAAAACAGGGAGCGACGTCGACGTCGTCGTCGTCGTCGTCGGCGGCAACAGCGGGATCGCGGAAGAAACATCGCGGCACGGCCGAATCTTCGTTTTACGGCAAAAAGTTGTTAGTTGGTGCGTCCGCCACGATGGTGGTAGACGTACGCGCTTCCGGGGACGATCCCGCGGCAAATTACAACGAGAAATCCACGATCCGCGATGCGTTCTCGGCTGTCGAGAGCCTGATAGACGGTCGATTAGTCTCCTATTTGTCGTCGAACGACCGTCGACGTTAACTTTCTCTCTCTCTTTCTTTCTCTTACGACAGCTAACTGATTCGCGTCTCTCTGATTGCAGGTAGCAGCGAGGAATCGAGAGCCGGTGGCTGTGATCCTGGGAAGCTGGGAGTGAAGAAACCGAGACCGAAGGCCTCCTCGCCGAACCGGCAGGGACCACAGCAGTGTCAGGTGAGTCGCAATCGGAGATGCCGCAAATTCGGATCTTGCTCGTGAAAATCGAGGAAGCGCTCCGCGTTTTATGAGTCGGTGTTTAGAAACATTAATAACTTTGATGGAGCAATATTGACACTTGTTATGCGAACCGCATAATAGGTGAATGCTGTCGGATAAACCATTTGTCACTTGACTTCCATTCGAATTAGCCTTCGCGCCGATGATAGCGCGCGACTGCTCGCATATATATAGAAAATGTTTGTGCAATTATTATCAATCAGAATATATCTAGCCGCCGCGCGATAATCCCCGATAATTCGACAGCGATATCACCGCGCTAGCGCGCACTCTCTTCTACAACGAGCTTCCGGTTTTCACGACCCGAGTTCTGTTCAATCCTAAGAGAAAGAGAGAGAGAGAGAGAGAGAGAGAGAGAGAGAGAGAGAGAGAAATTCTGCGAGATATTTCATAAAACACAACATCCGCGCGATCGCGTCGACTTCTCTCGTTCGCGAGAAGAAAAAGAATCATGCTCCATTATTAATAATTATTCTACGTAACGTAAGCGTACGCCTGTTCGTTCTACCTTAATGAAATTACTCGAATAGCTTTAATTAACTGCCATAGCGGGAACATTGTTTTTAAATATTCCCGTATATGCACGCGAGAGCCGCGCTTGTTTAAGCTGCGTGTGTGCATAATGTGGCCGCGTTTGACGAGGAACGACGTCCTTTTTGCCGGTGTATTTTAATTAAATCTGGAATCGCTCGCGGAAATAGCGGGAGCGTACCACGTTCACGTAAACTGACATTAGGTAATTGTCTCCGCCGATTGATTAAAAGTTCGCTGAAACGAGGCGCCTCTCCAGACTACGCGCGCACAGATTGCAGCCGGCCTGGCTCGAACCGGTAATTACGCTACTCTCTAATTATCAGCGCGCCAAATTTTATAGCCTGTCACTAAGATTTAACGCGCGACACCGACGTCACGTCGTGCGAACTCGCAGAGACGACCGCAACCCTTTTCCTCTTTTTTTTCTTTTTTTATCGAAATATCCTTAAAGGTCCTCTGACATATTCGATACGCTCCATTTTAGCGGTTAGCTTGCTGTAGAGAGCGCGCGGCCCAACAAAGAGCATTTTCACGGGGAAGAACGAGGCGACGGTTCGTTAGCGACCGATCGAGTTAGACGACCACGATCGATGACCACGGGGTGTGCTCGAAAACCGTAGCGCGAGGCCGCAAAATTCGTGCTAACCCGCCCCATGTTCTGCCCCTTTCGTCCCTATCCCTGCGGCTAGAACGAGTCGAAACGGCGCCATCGAACGCTAACGACGCTGACCCACTTTCCGCTTGCGCCGGCGCGCTCGCTGCAGGAAGCCGCGACGCCGGGGGATGATGCGTTCTCGCCGGCCGTGACGCGCAATCCTGACGAATTCTCGCACGAACGCGGCATTTTTACGACGACGGCCGTCTCCGCCGACTCGGGCTCGCGCCAGGGAGATGTCTCCCTTATTTTACAGCTGTTTCTCTTGCATTCCCCGACTTGAAGCGCGGCAGATTATTACTTGCGACCATACAACGCGCGTTTATTTCTAATATTGTCGTCCTATGGAATTGTCGCTTTCTCTCATTCGCGAATCACGAAACGTTATTTTTCTCATATCAACTCTCCGAGTGCTCATGAATAAATGTCGTGACGTCTCTTGCAGAGAAGAATGAGAAAGGTAAAGATCAGTCGTGGAGATAATCGATCTTAAAAAAACAGTCGAATGTTAGCTCGTATTCTTCCTCGAGTATCTTCTTTATTTCTCTTACAGTTACCTGTTTCAATGGAGAGTACAACGGGAAATAACTGTCTATGTTTGGACGTGTCGCCGATCGTACATCTGGCGACTTCCCGCGCGCAAATGTGTCGCATGTAATCCGCGAGCGTGCAAGATACGAATCTCGAGCCACTGGCTCCGATGCAAGTCATTTTGCACGCGGCGCGAAACGACGGGCGCGTTAGCCTTGATTTTAGCGCGCGGCTCAATTTCCTACTTCCTGGCCCGCCCTTCGTGACCCACATTAAGACGCAACGGCTTGCGCTAAAGTGCCGGACGGTTGTCGGGGCTGTTTATACACGCGATACACGCGCGCGCACGCCAGCGTCGTGGTCGTGTGCGGAAAGGCTGTTGAATATTCAGGTGGCGCGAACCTCGAGCAGGCAGAGCAAACACGGCGCCTCCGTGATGTAACACACGAACGCGATACCCCGTCCCCAGTCTGTGCACTCGACCGATTTAGGCGTGCCTTGTGGTATTTAGCAGCTAACCCTTTCAGAGGCCTGCCGCCTTCGCTGATTGATCCGCTCCTCTCTTTCTGTCTCGCGATGCTCTCTATCTACAGAGAGGAGGCAACTTTTTCCGGCGATATTCGCGACCTCGTAAATTCAAATTCCGTTACCTTAAGCCAACCGAGAGTTTTGTTTACCTGATCTCGATGCGAGACGAGAATTATACCAGCGTCTTTAACGTGCGCTAAGCACATAACGCGTGTACACGTTCAACTCTTCTCCTGACAGGATCGATCAGCTATGCCATTGATGCTGCGCTTTTATTTTCTTCTCGTCCTTGTTCTCCTTCGTGACAGATCGCACGCTACGTCGGATCGTATTCCATATAGCCTCTCCATGCAGTAGCTCTCCTTGTTTCACGCGCCTCTTGCTCTTTCACCCTCGCTACTCGTTCTCCTTCATCTCTGCCGCTTCCTCTTTCGTCCCCTTTGATCCGTCGCTCTTGTCGCTCTCGTTCTTTCTGTCCCTTTCGTCCCCATCTCCCAGCCTTTCTCCCGCGTAAACCCCGACGGCCAAGAGCAGCAACAGCAACCCCTCGTCCTCGTGTGCCTTGTTACGTAATTAAATGACGGTCCGCCTGACTTGTTGACAAGCCTTGTCGATGTATCGAGTTAGCAACGAATTAAGCCCGTCCGCCTCGGCTCGATTATGGCTCTCGGATATCGGCGCGATCCAAAGGGGGTGGCACTCTCGAGAACGGCCTTTGCGGCGGCGGCGACGGCGGCGGCGGCGGCATCCGACGTGACGCTCGGCTGTCTCGCCGGAAATTGATCGTTATTCATTACAGGACGCTCTCGTCGGAATTTTCCTCGTCACGGCCGTACCGCCGCCATAATTTATGCGCCAATTATCGCGCTCGGCATTATGCGCGAGAGACGGTCGATTAATGCCGCGCGACGCGAGATAAAGTTTTTTTTAATGCACCCTTATGGCCGGCCGCGATGCATCAACGATTTCCATTTAGTCCCCGTTTGACGCACCCGCGCGGCCTCTCATAGATGCCATCATTTCTGTACCGACGCGGCGCGCCGGCAAGCGCAGGCTAATTAATAATTCAAACGCAGCACGCCGCGTTTTATACCTTGCGTAACGACACAGCGGATTGCGGATATAGTGATATTGAAAGTTTGAAAATCTACGGGATGGGGGAGAATAATGCATGCGGTTATTAAGCGCGTCCCGTCAACGGCAACGAATTTTACGCCGAGGGAGCGAGTCACGCGATTTTCACGAAATCGAAGTCCCTTTTTGCGGTTTTACGTGAGAATGTTTAGCCCAGGGACTATATATTGTCGCTGCATTCGTATTATTTCATCCGAAACGCGCCCGTACGAACGTGGAGGCAGCGGCGGCGGCTGAAGCCGATGGAATTGCCGATAAAATCGCCGAGCGTATCGATTTTTCACCCCGTTGCGACCGTACATAAAACCATTAATTAATTAACCAGACCAGACGGTACACACATTACAGAAGCTTGGAGGTCTCGTGGTAATTTCGCTAATCAAACGGTCTCTTCTCGGAGAAGTGCGCGGACCGATACGCGATAATCTAAAAGCGAAGAGACACGTCGTACAATGGAGTAAATTGATTGAACCGGGCGAGATCGGATAACTGACTCCCTGTCGCGTTGACGTTGCGGTCAGACCGTCGTTCTTTCCTCCTTCGTTTGTTTTTCTTTCTTTTTTTTAACGTTCTCGTTTTGCTTCTCTCTCTCTCTCTCTCTCTCTCTCTCTTTCTTTCATCTCTTTCTTCACCTTCTCATCTCGCCGCCGTCTTATACGTTATCGTCTCCGAAGATAGACGAGCGTCTCGGAAATGTCATCGACTTATCAGACATCGCGAGCTTTATCGTGAACGATATATTCTTGGCCAAGGGAGGAAACGGGTCAACACAATCTCCCAATTCGCGCGCGCGCACATGTGTGTGCACGCGCTGTGCCAACACACTCGGCCGTTTATTCTGGACACGATGTACTCGCAGCGTTCACGGTGACACGAGCTGTTAATTAAGCCGACTTCAACCCAAGTTGTTGCTGGATCTGTATGTGCAGCCTGAACCTTGCTACGTCGTAGTTTCCGGCCCAGTCTGCGTCCCCGTTGTCGATCTACCCTCCGCCGTCTCGCTGATGTTCTGTTCTAAGCATACCCCTTGAGTTGCAACGAAGAGACCAGATTTCTGTTCCGACGAAAATTATTCGTTACTACTATGTTACTATTCGCGCGCACGTACGCGAATTTGTACGTGTCGCACGAGGAAATTAGCGATGTCTATCTTGAATATGACGGATGCGTATTAATGATAACATTACCCGATAACGACAAAATGCTCGCGAGAGTACCGTATATCTTCCGTTTATCAAATGGTCGGGATTCTGAGCTTCGCAAACGAGACAACGTCGATTCCATACTAATCTCCCAAAGTCGCTGATAAAATCTCTTACAAGTGATAAGTGTAAAAAAATTATTACTCTCTTCAACGTATTAATTGTGTAGCAATTTTTATCACTGTGGAAAACTTTCATATTGAGTTCACATAAAGGGACACTCGGTACACTCGACATTTCTCAGACGAGTGGCAATATTCACATTAATATTAAATTTAGGCATTCCTCTGACCCGATTACGCGCGATATGTCGTCATCACGAAGGATGTTTCGCGAGCGCTCGCAAAGGGAAG